TACTCCATAATCTATTTTTACAATTTTTCAGGAGAAAATATTTGTATTAAATATCGAAGTTAGGACGACAAGAATTTCTCTTGTTCTTCTTGTTATCAATATTTTTGCTTATTGATTTTTAGAAAATTTTATATCTTTTACAAATAGTTTTACACATGAGTTTCATAGTTATTGTGAACATTTGCTTTTAATCAAATAATTGTTTTAATAATGACTACTCTTCGTTTTATATTAAAGTTAAAGAAAATCGTAAATACCTATTGATGATTATCCTGTTGGATTATGATTTCATTTGTTTTATGAAAAAGTTTTTGAATATTTTCTAATCGCCTTGAAAGACTTATGATTGAATTGACTATTTTAGCGATTCCATTTTATGAAAAGATTAAAATACGAGAGATATCTACAGAAAGAAAAAAAATCAATTTTTCTTCCTTGATAATTTCGCCTTGCTTGTCACCTGGTAAGACATATGCATAACATGTGTCAAAAAAAGAAACACAAACAAAAAAATATCATTACTTTTGTTGTTTTTTTCTTAATATCACTCAGTTGTCGATATATCGAAAACTGATATTGACATGAACGAAGTAAATGACACTTTTACCAAAATATGTTGCATATTCATTACCTCTATCTGTATGTAAACAAACTCGGCATGTGATTGATTTATTTTTTGAACTTGTATATCCATATAGTGTTCGTCTATAGTCAGCACTCGTCGTACACAAATGATTTTCCAAATAAATATAAATCTCGTATTCAATTTATATTTCGTCATCGAATTTAATCATGGCATACTCAATCAAGTCTTGTTTCTTCAGTAATTATGACTATAGCTCGTGAACAGTCCTCTCGAATGGAATATATTTCTTTTAATATTTCATCATTGAAATTAATCGATTGATTATAATCAATTACAAATTACTTTTTTACTCAAACAAATGTAAGATACAATAAGTTTGAATCATATTTGAATTTCACCAAACATTGGATTCAATGCAGAAAAGCAGTAGATGATGGTCTTCTCACATGAGAAAAGGTGCAAGTATTTGGATTAATAGGCAGCAGCTCAGCCGCCTGATTTACACGTTCGTATATGAACGAAACGAGACTATTTTTATAGTTATTTTTCTAAAATAATCAATCAAAGTGTTACTTTTAAAGTAGTTCTATTAGGAGAAGGAAATATTGATAAGGTAAGAGACTTGAAGAAAAAAGATGTTTTGTTTTTCTAAAAGGTCTATAGAATTTATTCATTTAGACTTCAGTTGTTCTATGTTATACAGAAAATTCATTTAATGATAAACATCTTGACACACAACAAGTGAGTTGTGATTTATATATTATAAGTATCTTTTTTTTTACTTCTTCTTCGGCTTTTTTTAAAATAGAAAAAACATTAACTTTGGATGATCGTCGGATTAATTTAGCCATATGTATTAGTTGAATTTTCATTGGAAATTCTTTTAAATCCTTTTATTTACTAGGATATAACAGGAGAAGAACAATTTCGAGCACTTCGATATGGATATTTAACCCTTTGACCGTCACCGACGCATATATGCGTCCGGAGCTTCATCTTCGCATGAACTAAAGTAGTCATTCATAACGTATGTTTTTTAGAGCCATTTACGTAAAAACAAACGTTAGGCATCAAGCGCTTCATAAATCACCATTTTATCAAGGTACATTACAGAATTGTTCCATAAAAAACCAATAAATTTTCTGCAAAATTTTTTCTCTCTTCTCTTACGTCGACCACCAAAGGGTTAATCTATCGAAAATAATTCTTTTATTTTGTTTTTAGTCCTTTATATTATCGTGAAGCAAATGGTGTTATACTTGTATTTGATATTACAGATAAAGATTAATTCGATTGAGTATGTTTATCTCATTCAGAAAAAAATTAACTTAATAAAAGCGATTTCTCTTAATTTTAGGTAAAATGTTAGATTGAAAAATTAAAACGAATGTTGGGCAAGAATGTAGTTTTATGTATTGTTGGAAACAAAATTGTTCTTGAAAAATATCACCATGTATCTTTGCAAACAGTCGAAGAATATCGGTTAATGTAAAACTTAATCAAACATCAGCTAAATTAGATAAAGAAATTAAAGAACTTTTCAATGATTTAGCTGCGTGTGGGGTGTGGGTGTGTAAGTATGAGTGGATGTGTGGGTATGTGTGAAGACAAAAAGTAACCCACAACCACACCCACACTCTCTAGGTTAATATGAAAGAACATGAGACTTAGTTTACCATTGTTCAGAATCTTCTTATTCTAAAGAGGAGAAATAATCAATATTGCAGAAACATAGCGCTTGAAAGTGATATTTCATTTAGGTATAATAGGACTAATCGGATACAATTTATCAATTATTTCTTTCAAGAATTCATGTCTATGGATGTCGTAGGTAATCAAACGATGCCAGCTTAAAAAAGGATTGTTTCGAGTTGTTGTAAGATGGTTAAGAAAAGTCGAAACTAGTAAAAGAATTCATTCTTTTTACGTCATCTATTAATTTTACTTTATTACAATTATTAATCTATTGACTGCTTTTGCCGTTATTGTGCATATTCAAATTATTAATGTGCGACTTTTATATATTACAAAGACTTTAAATCGATATTCAGATAAAATCAAAAGCAGAGAAAAGTATTTCCGATGAATAATATATCACTAGATAGATCTAGCTAGATTGGGTGTGGGTGTGGGTGGGTGTGGGCGTAGGGTGTGAGTGTGGGCGAGGATGTTGGATGTGGGGTGTGGGTATCAAAAGAGACAGGGTCCACATCCGCATCCACACCCACACCCACACCCCATACCCACGCCCTTTTGATACCCACACCCCACACCATACATCCTCGCCCATACTCACACCCTACACCCACACCCCATACTCCATACTCCACATCCACATTCACACTCACACCTACTCCCATATCATTTGGGTATGTTCTGTATAG